AGTTTTTTTATGTGATAAACAGTGTCGATAAAACATTATGTAGGCATTACTAATTCATATTGATTATCAGCAACACGAATAACTGTTCTGACAAAAGTAGGCTTTTGATTAAGCAATTACAACAATAGTATGAGCAAAATTATTGTAGCAATGACATAACGAGACGGAGAATAATAATAACAAATGCCGATAAAGAATCATAGACAAACAAATAGGGTAATATTACAATAACTCCGAGCATTTTACTACGCAAAAATGCTCAAGCATATATGGACATATATAGGTTATGATGAAATAATACGATCGATAGAATTTTGGGTTGCTTTCTGATTCTGTGATACCATTTTGCTCGTGCATTTATATTTGATTGATATAACCAGGCACGTGCGCAGAACGGAGAAGACAGAAAAGCGAAAATACAAGAAAACGAGTGTTTAAATCTACACTAAGGAACCAATCAAAAAATAACTATATATATAGTGTGAAATTTATATATAGAACCCTACCCCCAGCTCTAATACAGTATCCTATTATATAACATCTTTACCTACTTTTTTTAGTACGTGCTACATATTGTACCGGTACGTACGTCGTATTTGCTGTTCCCTAATTAGAAATTCATAGATCCCATAGATCATCAGGCAGATAAATAAACATGCAAAAAAAAAAAAAAAAAAAAATACTGTACACTCATTAGATTAATTCATCATAAATATGATGCTTGTACGTCTTAATTCGCCGTTGACACGGACATTTTCTTCTACGCTATATAAGAAAAGCTCTAACAAATATCAGTAAGTTTATTTTATCCTTTTCTCGATCCGTTTTGTACTTTAATTTCATCTTTAAATTTAAATAGAAAAATAGCTTCGTTACTTCAAAAACGTGCAATTGTCACGCATATGGAAACCAATCATCAAAAAACCTTCTCAAATCAAAATAACATCCCTCGTCTTCCGATTCCGACTTTGAAAGAAACAGCTGAACGTTATAAGAAATCTTTATTGCCTCTTTTATCCACTTCGGATTATAATCGAGCAGCCAATGCCGTTGATGAATTTATGAAGGAAGGTGGTTTCGCTGAGGTTCTTCAAAAAAGATTACATGATGTTGATAAAAGTGAAAAGGTAAAAAAAAATTAAATTAATTATTCAATAAATTATCATTAAATTAATAAAATTTTTATATTTACTGTCGTAGTACAATTGGCTTGAAACGATCTGGTTAAATAAAGCCTATTTAGAATGGAGAGATCCTTCTCTTATAAATGTTAATTGGTGGGTTGAGTTCAATGATCCTGCTACCGGAATTCTAAAAAATCCTCCTCCAAAAGGCCAGATATCCGAATTACAAATCGATAGAGCTGCTGGACTTGTATCAAATTTGTTGACATTTAATGATATGGTTAATAAGTATGTGAATTTATATTTAGACTTTTATATCATATTCATTTTAATTTTATTCATGATTTCTAATTTAATTCGACGACATTTGATCTATTATTAAACAGTGAATTATTACCGCCGGAGAAGACACGTCAAGGTCCATTGTGCATGGATCAATATACTAAACAATTTGGTGCTACACGAATTGTTGATTCACCTTCTGATCGTGTTATAACAACATGGCCTGCAACCGCCAAACATATTATTGTGATTTTTAGAGATCAAATTTTTAAAGTTCAAGTTTTAGGTGGAGGAGGTGAAAGAATTCCTATTAAAGAAATTAAAAGGTTTGTTTTTTTTTCCTCTTATACTGCTCAACATTTAAACCGCAAAACTTGTTAAAATTTATGCTTGGGCTTCTTTACTTTAGGCAACTCCAATCTATAGTTGATCAAGTGAATAATACTACGGAATTACAGCCTCCGATAGGTTTATTGACTGGTGAACATCGTGATACATGGGCAACGGTATTTTGTTGTTAACTATTCATCCCTATCATACACGACAATGTTTTGTTAAATTAATTTGTTTATTTGGTAGGCTCGCAAAAAGCTTGAATCTTCGTCTGCAGAAAACAAGATCAGCTTTGAAGCAATTGACACATCTTTATTTTGTATAGCGTTGGATGACTATCCTACTGATACAGATATAGATATTTCTCATCACAATTTTTTTCATGCTTATAATGGTCGAAATCGATGGTTTGATAAAGCACTTCAAATAGTTGTGGCAAATAATGGACGTGCTGGTGTTAATGGTGAGGTATGGTAACATAAATAAATTTACATAATAATAATTTTCGTTGATACTTATACTTCATCAAATTGTCAAAATAGCATTCACCTTCAGATGCTGTAATTCCAGGTACTATATTCGATTATATTATTAAAAAGTAAGTAAAATTTAATATCAATATATACTGTACATATTATTTAAATTTTATTAGATAACTATTGTCAATAACTTATGTTAAAAATGAAAGTGAGCCAGCTCAAGATCCGCAAAACACTTCTCCCATTGAATTACCACCTCCTCAACACTTAAAATGGATAGTTGATGGTTCTATAATGAACACCATTCAACAAGCGCAAATTAATATTCAAGCTGCAATAGATAATGTTGATAGTGTTTTATTGCATTATAATGAATATGGCTCCGATTGGCTAAAAAATGGTAATGCGTATGTTTTACTTATTATGTTCAAAAAAATAAATAAATAAACATATAATAATTGTATGTATAATTACTTTGATTTATTATAGTTAAGGTCAGTCCTGATGCATTTGTTCAGATGGCGATTCAACTTGCATATTATAAACACTATCGTGAACCATGTCCGACTTATGAATCTGCCTCTACTAGAGGTTTTTTACATGGTCGTACTGAAACTGTGAGAACTTGCTCTGTGGACACTGTTGCATTTACCAAAGCTTTTTGTGATCCAAATGTCAGGGTATGATATATTACTTTCATTTAGCTTCAAATTATATGAATATGGCATTGAATAATGTTTTTTTTTTTTTTAATGAACAGAAAGATGAAAAAATTTCTTTACTCACGAAGGCTATTAAATCACATATTGAATATATGATCTCTGCTACTAATGGTACGTACGCGGATGCATATTTAGCTATTTTGATCTACTGATGATTTATCTAAATATTTTCATTTATTAGGTCGTGGAGTAGATCGTCACCTTTTAGGTCTTCGATGTCAAATCCGTGACGAAGAAGAAAAATCCAAGGCAACGCTATTTACTGATCCTTCATATGTTCAATCTATGTACTTTAAACTTTCTAGTTCAAATATGAGTCCTGGATTGGGTTTTCATTGTGGGTTTGGGGCCGTAGTTCCCGATGGTTATGGAATTTGTTATGTTATTGGAAAAGATAAATTGAAACTTAGTATTAGTAGTTATAAAAAATGCAAAGAAACCGATAGCACCATTTTTAGAAAAGTTTTGAAAGAATCTTTGGACGAGTTGCGAGAAATTTTATCATAATAGCTAGATAATTATTGTAGAATGTAAATTATTTATTTATGTTTAACTAAGGTATATGAACATTATTGTATCGTATAGTGTGTTTTTTTATAACATGTTGTAATTAATGAAAAAATGTTTATGGTGAAGATAGAATCTATTTACTAGTTCTTGAATATTCGATTCGTTACATTGCACCATCTTTGTCATAATGTCATTCTCTTGTCATATGTGTGCAAAAAATGCTAGTTCATCGTTGACAACCATGTATCATAAAATGCGTAAACTTAAAGGCTACATTTGTCCCATTTCAAGATCGCCACATAGTATACTGTAAATCGATATATTTTTGTGCATTAAGTAAAGCTGTTCATGAAATCAAATAAACTGTACATATTCTATATTTTGAAAGTCACTCAAACGGATAACTTCCATCATTACAGCATTATGTTTTTGCATATTACAATGTTACAAAAAATTTTATAATATTCAAAAAAGTATTAATAAAAATTACCTGATTTAATCTTTAATAACGATAAGTTTATTAATCACAAATTATCAATTTACTTTGTAATAATTATGATTAAGTTTTTAAAATGATTTACTTTTTTATTTTTTTTCTGTTGCAGCAGATTACCATGCACTTCAGTTACAAACGTTCTGTGCAAAATGCCATTTTCTCAAACAAATAACTAAAGCTTCAGTGTGTTTAAATAAAAGGTAAAATTTTGGAATAAATAAATATATGGATGAATAAATACATAAAAACAGATCTATATAAGGCCATACAAACTTAATTAATTGGTTCTCATAACCCGGCCGGGTCAAATTCAACAAAATTTTGAAAAAAATTTTTTACTATATTTATTATCCGGGTGAACTTTTTAAAATTTTTGTAAAAAATTTTATATGTTTTTTACATATAAACTTTTTTGAAAATAAAATTAATAGCCGGGTTGCCGGGTCATTTTTAAAATTTTATGCTATGAGAACCAAAAAACTAATTTTATATGGCCTTATAGTATATATTATAAATAAATTAAATAGTTTTTTATTTACTTTGACAAAATTTTATTATAGTTATAACCTTAATTTTTAATTCTACAGTGCAGACAACCTAGTCCCAAAAATAAATTGATGAAATTCAAATTGCTAGTCCTTTTTTTAAAAAATAGTAAGCACAATATACTATATATTTTGAAATGTTAAATCAAGACAAGCTAAACATTTTCATGTTTTTAAATTTTTTTTAAATCTATTTATAAAAAAAGTTATAGCAAGTTAAAGTCATAGTATTTTTATAATTAAATGTATAATTTTGCCACCTTTTATATATATATATAAAAGCAAATTTGACTCTTTAAACAATTAATTAAATTTTTATATATATTAAAATTTGAAGTTTGGCCACTTTATATATAAACATTAGCTATTGGCCTCTTCATATATATAAAAATAAAACCTAAATCTGGCCTCTAAAAATTTTTATTTGCTGTGACTAGGTTGTCTGCACTGTAATAAAATATTTGTTATTTAGCTATATAAATAAAAGCATCTATAAACTATACATGATATTAGTCATCAGAAATTGAAAATTCACATTTTTTAGAACCTAAAAATTAAAAGCAATTAATTTTTATTGATTAATTAAAAAACAGGATATAATAGGTTTGATTATTTACCATTAATCTTTAGCAATTCTGTAGATAATGAACTAATTGACTCAGAAAGGTTCTTGAAATTAAGCAACCTACTTGTAAATTTATCTTTAGGACAAATCGGCAATTTGGTTGATGATTTTGGAATAATTGTATCTGCAGACTGGAATTCTTTTAATATTGTTAATTCATTTTTATCTTTTGCAACATTATGATTTACTATATTATACCATCTTGATAACTCATCATAGATATAAGACGCAGATGGTCTATTAGAAGGATTAGCATCCATACATTGACTTGCTAATTGGACATAACACGTAGGTGTGCATTCAGTAAATTCAGGGCGTAAACCATGACATATTTGGATAGCTAATATTTCGTCATACTCAACATCATAATGAGGTGGTCTTCCTGTGGACATTTCAGCCATAACAATACCAAAACTATAGATGTCTGCTTCTATTGTATATGGTTGTTTATTTAATACTTCCGGGGAAACATAAGGTAAAACGCCATAAATACTATTTTCCAAAACTGAATCATCTTTCTTTCTAGATAATCCTAGATCTGCAATATAAGATATCAGATCTCCATTAATGTATTGATTTAGTAAAATATTGCCGCTATGAAAATCTCCATGAACGTATTTTGCCTCATGTACTTTTATTAAATTTTTTGATATATCAACAAGTGATTTTAATTTATTTTTCCAATTAAGTTTTATAAAATTTGATGATAGGAATTGATGGAGGCTTCCTTTATTTGCATATTGAAACACTATCAAATATTCATTATTAGCTGTGTTTTGAGTTAGCCCATAAACTTCAAGATTACTACCCACTAGTTTAAACTCTGTATAACTTTTAAACTTTTTAAATAAATAATTTTAAATATTAATAATTTATCTATTAAGTCATAAATAAATTAATTTAACTTACTTCTTTTAAAAAATTCTTTTGTAAGCCAGGTAATGTCTTGAGTGCGACTATATATGATGTTGTACGTGATTGTGTGTATTCTTTGTATTTACCAGAAACTACTCTTTTACCGTCTAACCATGTTGCCGAAAACACTGAACCAAATCCCCCTTCACCAATCTTTTGAATATTATCTAGCCTATTAAAAGGAATCCATTCGATAACATCTTCATGTTTGGTAGCTTTATGTTGAAATTCTTTAATACAGTTATCGATATCCTTATTTCCACTTGTCCATCCTTCTGTTGTTTTCTGAGGGTCACATGTTTGACACCAAGCTGGAGATGAGTTATGCTGTTTGCAATTTGCACATTTCCCATTAATTTCATCTCTTTTTAAAACAAATCCTTCAAATACCAACATATATTCATTTGTGGTTGTTTTTCGAGTTATTCCATATACTTTAAGTTTGTTATTCTTTGATTGCATGAAATCTTTAAACTTATAAATTATAAATTATAAATATATAATATTAATCAAGCAAATATTATAAACAATGAACAAAACTTAACTTACTTTACTTAACAGATCTAATGAATTTTGAAAATTATATAATATTTTAAGTTTCACTTTACATGATTGTATACGTGACTGTATATATTTAACTTCATAATTATAATAATTTGCATGTCGTATTCCATCTAACCAGGTTGCTAAAAATCCATCGTCAGTCTTTTGAATATCATTCAATCTGTTAAAAGGAATCCATTCGATTACATCATCGTAATTTGTAGCTATAAGTTGAAATTCTTTAATGCAATCATCGATATCCTTATATCCACTTGTCCATCCTTGTGTTGCCTTCTGAGGGTCGCATGTTTGGCACCAGGCTTTAGATGTGTTATATCGGTTGCAATTTGAACATTTTCCATGATCACTATTCCTTTTAAAGCCAAATTCATCAAATACCAACATATATTCATTTGTGGATATGTTTTGAGTTAATCCATATACTTTAACATTCTGTATATAATCTCTAAACTTATTAAATATTCATAAATATATAAATAAGAATTAATATTAAGCTATATATACACGTCATTCTGGTTTTACCGACAGCTGGATTAACCGACATTTGGTTATATCGACACTTTTTTAAAAATAATTATCATTTTAAAAATTCGTTGGTTATACTGACAAACTGACATCTGGATATATCGACAAATTTTCCATTATTGAAGAATGTCGATATAACCGGAGTGACGTGTACTGTGATACAATATAATAATAATTTAAATAGTTTAACTTACTTCTTTTAATATATCTGTTAAATTTGGTGATCCAGTTAATGATTTAAGTTCCATTTTGCATGATGGTATTCGAGAATGCATATATACATTTTCAATTTTGTTTACACACCGTATTCCATCTAACCAAGTTGCTAAAAATCCATCACCAATCATTTGAATATTATTCAATCTATTAAAAGGAATCCATTCGATTACATGTTCGTAATTTGTAGTTTTAAGTTGAAATTCTTTGATACAATCATCGACAATTTTATTTCCACTTGTCCATTCCTGTATTACTTTTTGAGGGTCACATGCCTGACACCAAGCTTTAGAAGTGTTATCTCGTTTACAATTTGCACATTTTCCATTCTCTATATTTCTTTTAGAACCAAATTCATCAAATTCTAACATATATTCATTCGTAGTTATGTTTTGAGTTAATCCGCATACTTTAAGCTCACTATTATTTAGCTGTACATAATCTATAAACTTATTAAATGTTTATAAATATATAAATATGAATTAAAATAAAGTTATATTATTGTGATACATGAAATTAAATTTAATTATTTTATCTTACTTCTTTTAACATATCTGATAAATTTGGTGATCTAATTAATACTTTAAGTTCCACTTTATATGATGGTACACGTGACCGTAAATATTTATCTTTGATTTTATCTATTTTATTTACATAACGTATTCCATCTAACCAGATCGCTAAAAATCCATCACCAGTCATTTGAATATTATCCAATCTATTAAAAGGAATCCATTCGATTACATCTTCGTATTTTGTAGCTTTAAGTTGAAATTCTTTAATGCAATTATCGATTTTCTTATTTCCACTTGTCCATCCTTGTGTTGAATTTTGAGGGTCACATGTCTGACACCAAGCTGGCGATGTGTTATATCGATTGCAATTTGCACATTTTTCATTCCAATCATTTCATTTAGAATTAAATTCATCGAATACTAACATATACTCATTTGTCACAGTGTTTTTAGTTAGTCCATATACTTTATGTCCATTGTTCTTTAACTGTACACAATCTATAAACTTATTAAATATTTAAAATTGAAATAAAGCTATATACAATGGTACAATACAATAATAATTTAAATATTTTAGCTTACCTCTTTTAACACATCTAATAAATTTGGTGATCTATTTAATGCTTTAAGCTCCACTTTATATGATGATATACGTGACTGTGTATACCTATATTCATATTCAGCTGCAACATTAGAATTTACACATCGTATTCCATCCAGCCAGGTTGCTAAAAACTTATCTTCGATATTTTGAATATTAACTAATCTATCGAAAGGAACCCATTCGATTACATCTTCGTATTCTGTAGCTTTAAGTTGAAATTCTTTAATGCAATCATCGATATCCTTATTTCCACTTTTCCATCCTTGCGTTGTCTTCTGAGGATCACATACTCGACACCAAGCTCGTGATGTGTTATATCGGTTGCAATTTGCACATCTTCCATTATACTTTTTTCTTATAGAACTAAATTCATCACATACTAACATATATTCATTTGTAGTTGTGTTTCGAGTTAATCCATAAACGTTTTTACTCTCTAATTGCACATTACTTTTAAACTTATAGAATATAAAAATATGTTAAATATTATTTGCTTATATACACTATTAATTAATAAACTACACATAAAATAATAAAGCCTTACTTCTTTCAAAATATTTAATAAACTTTGTGAATTATCCAATGCTTTAAGTGTGATTATATATGGCTGTGTACGTGACTGTATGTACTCTTCACATTCACCTGAAATGATTCGTATGCCATCTAACCAGGTTGCCGAAAACCTATCATCAATTTTTTGAATGTTACCTAATCTATTAAAAGGAATCCACTCGATTACTTCTTTGTAATTTGTAGCTCTAAGTTGAAATTCTTTAATACAATCATCAATATCGCTATTTCTACTCGTCCATCTTTGTGCTGTTTTGCGAGGATCACATGTCAAACACCAAGCTTTACATGTATTATATCGGTTGCAATTTGTACATTTCCCGTTCAATCTATCTCTTTTAGAACCAAATTCTTCGAATACGACCATATATTCATTTGTAGCCGTGTTTTGAGTTAATCCATAAACATTTTTACCCACTAACTGTGCGTGATTCTTAGATTTATAAAATATATAAATATAAACGTTATCACTGTATTAATCAATAAATTACGCATGAAATAATATACCTCTTTTAAAATATTTAATAAATTTTGTGAACTAGCTAATATTTTAAGTGTAATTATGCATGGCGGTGTACGTGACTGTGTACATCCTACATCAAATCCATATTCATCAATTTTATATACATACCGTATTCCATCTAACCAGGTTGCTAAAAATCTATCGCTGATCTTTTGAATGTTGCTTAATCTATTAAAGGGAATCCATTCGATTACGTCCTCATATTTTGTAGCTTTAAGTTGAAATTCTTTAATACAATCATCGACATTTTCATTTCCACTTGTCCATCCTCGTATTGCTTTATGAGGGTCACATGTCTGACACCAAGCTGGCGATGTATTATATCGATTGCAATTTGCACATTTTCCATGATATTTATTTCTTTCAAATCCAAATTCATCAAATATTAACATATATTCATTTGTGGATTTGTTTTGAGTTAATCCATATACTTTAAGTTTACCATTTCTTAGCTGTATATAATCTCTAAACTTAATAATTATAAATATAAAAATATGAATTAAAATAAAGAAATATACAGTAGTACATACAATAAATATTAAATATTTTATTTACTTCTTTTAGCATGTCTAATAAATTTTGTGAAGTATTCAATTTTTTAAGCTCCACTGTATATGATGGTATACGTGACTGTGCGCATTTGTCTTTATCTTCTTTTACACATCGTATTCCGTCTAACCAGGATACTAATAATCTATCACCAATTTTTTGAATATTAACTAATCTATTAAAAGAAATCCATTCGATTACATCTTCGTATTTTGTAGCTATAAGTTGAAATCCTTTAATACATTTATCGATATTCTTAGTTCCACTTGTCCATCCTTGTGTTGTCTTCTGAGGATCACACGTCTCACACCAAGCTGGCGATGTGTTATATCGGTTACAGCTTGCACATTTTCCTTTATATTCTTTTCTTTTAGA